ATTGCTACGAATTCAACAAAAATTGTACGCCTGAATACATTCGTGCCGGTGTTCGTCAAGCTTATGGAAAAGGTATACGTACCATGTACATTACGCATCGTTTTGACAATAAAGCTTCAGGCGCAAAAGCGGATAAAGGCATGGGGCTAAATATTCTCAATGTGGTGGAGTCAGGTCACGCCTTCGATCTGGAGACGTGTACGGTGCCTTACGACACAGCACAGCCGATCAATGCTGCAAGCCAAGGTTTGCCGCAAGATATTGGTAATATTGCAAAACCCGTTGCGACGGTCTTTGGTTTATTAACTGGAAAAAACATTGCACAAATGATCCCAAGTTATCCCAATATTCCAGCAGCTTGCAATAAAAGAGGTCTTAGCGAAACTGGCAAAGCCATGATTGATGAGATGATGAAATTGGGCATGATTATTCAGGCAGATCATTTGTCTGAAAAAGCCTACAACGAATTTTTAACGATAGCCAAAACTTACCAGTACCCGTGGTCACATGATCATTATGGTGGCAACAGTTTGGCCAGTGAAGCGATGATTGTCAATACTTTAAAGTATGGTGGTTATGTGGCAGGTATTCCAGGCAATGCTTCTTCAACGATGGACTACGTAGCCAAACATACTAAAATTAACCAACGTTATGGTTTTTATCCTGGCATTGGTTATAGTACCGATGGTAATGGCGGTGTTACCTTACCAACGTCTCGACACGGGAAGGTTATGCCAAGTCATACAGGGCCCGTTACCAAAATTTCTTATCCTTTTAAATCCTTTGGTGGGGATATTACTTTTACGCAGCCCCAAATTGGTAACCGAACCTTAGACTTTGATCAAGAAGGTGTCGTGCATTATGGATTGTTTCCAGAACTGATTGAAGATATGCGTTTAATGGGGTATTCTACTGAGGAAATTAAGCCTTTGTTTCAGTCAGCAGAAGCTTATATTCGTACTTGGGAACAATCGATATTGCGTTCGAAATCGGTTTCACGATAAGTGAGTTGACCCAGAAACAAAAAAAGCCCCAATTTAGGGCTTTTTTCACATTCCAATGTGGCTGGAATGTTATGAGTGACGGTGATTAAATCGACCACCGCCAGCAGGTTTATCTGCACGGGGTTGGGCTTCATTAACACGTACGTTGCGACCTGCAATCGGTTGTTCATTAGTTTTGGCGATGGCTGTTTGTGCTTCATCGCTGTTTGGCATTTCAACAAAGCCAAAACCTTTTGAACGACCAGACATTTTGTCGCGAATGACTTGTGCGCTAGAAACTTCTCCATAAGCGGAGAAAGCTGCTTTTAAATCCTCATCCGTTACCGAATAAGCTAAATTACCTACATAAATATTCACAGAAAACTCACCAACACCTTGTCAAAAAAAACACCAACGGTAACCAAGGCAAAACCACCGATGGCGAGGTCAGACGGGTAAGCGTTGACCACCTGCATATAAGCATACAACGGTTTTAAAGATAATGCAATGAATTTGTCAAGGTAGTGGTTGTTTTATTCTAAAAATACCACAATCACCTGTTTATAAAGCAAAAAACCTAGGAATAACCCTAGGTTTTTGGCATGAATATTCGCGAAAAATGTTAGGATCGTTCACATGCTTTGACGACCTGTCCTTTTTGTACTTTATAAAACCGAAAAATGTTTTGTAATGCCATACCGCTAATGCCAGAAGGATTCGGTTTTTTGGTGATACAAAAAATCAATTCATTTTTGGCATTAAAGGTAAAGCCATAATCACCAAACGGTGGACCACCATCAGACAAACTGACCACAGCTAAGTCTTCTTTTTTAAAATCGACGTGTTTCTTGAGGCGATCTAACATGATATTAGCAATTTTATCAACATGTTGTATCTTGTTGCCGATAATTTTGCCTTGTTTGAGATTGTCATCCAAAAACGCTTTTTCACTGCTAAAACTGGCGACTCGATCACCCATCATATCGTTGGGTAAGGCTGTGAACAAATAATTCCACGACACTAAGCCACCAGCGGTTGATAATCCGCCAATATCGACCACAAACTCTTGTGGATAACCATTTTTTGGAGTTCCGCCAAGTGGCCAGGTAACGCCTTTTGCCGTCTGGGCAAGCTCAGCTTCACGTGCCATCCTTTCGTAGTCCGCGGGTTGTAGAGGAGGTGAATCAGGTTTGGCAGTTTGCGGTGGTGTTGATGACGAGCTTGGTGCTGGCGATGGCTCAACTTGTGTGGGAGGTTTTTTTTCCATGCCACACGCATAAAGGGTTATGGTTAAGCCAAACACGCTCAAAAGCCCAACAATTTGCTTTAATTTCATATTCTATTCAATAAGTTAAAAATCATGGTTTACACATCAATATTGCGTGCTTTTAAGGCATTAGCTTCAATAAAAGCGCGACGTGGTTCGACATCGTCTCCCATAAGGGTGGTGAAAATTTGGTCAGCAGCAATGGCATCTTCAATTTGCACCTTGAGCATACGTCGGTTACTTGGGTCAATGGTAGTTTCCCAGAGCTGATCAGCATTCATCTCCCCAAGACCTTTATAACGCTGGCGTGTAATGGTACGCTCGGTATCTTGCATCAGCCAATCCATCGCTTCTTTAAAGGTGCGCACGATTTGTTCGCGTTTGCGTTCACCCTCACCACGACTGATGATTCCACCACCTTGTAAAATCTGAGCAAAAAACTGTCCAGCTTCAGATAGTTTAAGGTAGTCTGTGCTGTGACTAAAGTGCGTATCCAAATAAGAGACACGCTCCACCCCAAAAACATTTCGTGACAACACTATGCGCCATTGTCCTTCTAGCTCTTGAGGAGCTAATAAAACACTTTGTACGCCTTCTTGGGTTAAGTAGGCATTGAGTTCATCAACAGCTTTTTTAACACCAACTTCCGTATCTAAATCAAGTGTTAAGCCTGATAAAATAGCATTCATGACATCATCATCCACACGACCTTGCAGGCGTGAGGTGATGGCTGTTGTTTGGGTAAAGAGCTTGGCACCTTTATTAAAATCTTCATTAGCGATCACCTGACCATTTGCATTTTTCAAGGCCGCACCATCCAAACCTATATCCATCATATAGGTGGCTAAAGCATGGTCATCTTTAATATAACGTTCTGATTTGCCGTGTTTAACTTTGTAAAGGGGGGGTTGGGCGATATAGATATGACCACGCTCGATCAACTCGGGCATCTGGCGATACATAAAAGTTAGTAAAAGCGTGCGAATGTGGCTACCATCCACGTCCGCATCGGTCATAATGATAATGCGGTGGTAGCGAAGTTTATCAGGGTTGTAATCGTCTTTGCCAAAACCTGTTCCCAAAACGGTAATTAAAGTTGTTACCTCTTGACTAGAAATCATTTTGTCAAAACGAGCTTTTTCAACGTTAAGAATTTTCCCTTTAAGGGGCAACACAGCTTGAAACTTGCGGTCGCGCCCCATTTTGGCAGTGCCGCCCGCTGATTCTCCTTCGACAATAAAGAGTTCGCATTTGGTGGGGTCACGTTCTTGGCAATCGCCTAATTTACCTGGCAGCCCGATACATTAGGTGGTAGTGTTTGGGTTGTTAAAGCACAAATTCATGCAGGCGGTCGTGGCAAAGGCGGTGGGGTTAAAGTGGTTAAATCCATGGGCGAACTTGAACGGGTAGCCAGTGAAATTTTGGGTATGCAACTCATTACCCATCAAACAGGCCCCCAAGGCCAAAAAGTCCGTCGCTTATTGATAGAAGAGGGTGCTGATATTAAAAGTGAGCTCTACATTGGTATTGTTCCTGATCGTGACACACAACAAGTGTGTGTGATGGCCTCCTCAGAAGGCGGCATGGACATTGAAGAAGTTGCGCACAATACTCCTGAGAAGATTCACAAGGTTTTTGTTGATCCATCAAGTGGTTTAACAACGGCACAGGCGCAAGATTTGGCGCAAAAAATTGGTATTCCAGCAGGCTCTATTGACCAAGCTGCTGATATTTTGCAAAAGTTATACCAATGT